ATCTGAGACACAATGAATCCTCCCTGTGCTATCCCTGCCAAGAGGTCAGCCAGTCTCTGCTTGGAGTCCTTCAATAATGGGGAACTCATTACCTCACAGCCTAGGTCATTCATTTGGAAAGTTCAGTTTTTTATTATGTTAAGAAAAACCTGCACCCCTGTAAACAATCAGCTAATCAGTGAGCCCCAGAAGTATTTATTAAGCACCTACTAGGTGCCCAGCATTTCATCTCTCCCTTTGGTTCTAGGTATCCTCTCTGAAGCCACATCAAGTCTAATCCCTTTACCCTGTGACTGTCCTTCAGATGTGTGAGGACAGCTACCATTGCCTCCTCTGCTTTCTCTTTTCAGAGTGAAATACCACCCACATATTGATTCATGGAATTTACAGCTGGCAGGGCCCAATTCCCTTTGCTTAAAGAAGAAACTGAGGCCTAGGGAAGGAGGTTCAGTGACTCGCCCAGGGTCACACAGGCTGTAGAACTGGAAATCAAACCGAGGTCCTGATTCTACATTCAGGCCTCCTTCTACCACATGACCCCCCCTCCTTTCATCTATTCCTCACAGCATGAGGTTTCCAGGCCCCTCACCCTCCCTGGTTGTCAGTGTCCTTCCTAAATGTGGATCCTAGAAGTGAACATGACAGTCTAGGTTTGATCTGATCAGGACCATGGAGAGTTGCTTCTATTCTTGGCATGCTTATTTTATCCAGCCTTGTGATTTCACTGGTGTGGGGGCACTCCAGCTTGGAGAGTCCTGCTGCTGATGTCAATCAGCCAGGGATTGGGGAGTTGCCTGGTTCACAGGGGAGTTAAGTGATTTGCTTAGGGACAAGCCAGCAGGTGGGACTTGGACCCAGGTCTTCCTGACTTCCAGACTGACCCTCTAGTGTCTATCCCAGGCTCTATCTGTTGCATGTGTTAATGCAACCTAGTTAAGGCAGCTACAGGCTAGACATAGAGCACTAGACAGACAAACCCAAGCAAACACACACACATACACACACACACACCCTTCTCCTGTTGGACAGCCAAGGCAGAGACGGGTCAGAACTCCAACTTTCTAACAGAGGCTAGAGATCCTGCTCCCTTTCCCTCAGCTCTCCCCTTCTGGAGCCCTGAAGGCTGAGCAACACTACCCTCCTTCCAGCTGTTCCTGCTTAGGGATGCTGCCTCCCTAACAGAAGTGGGAAGAGCCCCAGGGCAGCTGCTGCTCTCCTGCCTCCCCCCCTCACTGATAAAGGCCTAGAAGAGAGATGAGGCAGAAGCCAGTGTCTAGGATCTCCACCAGGATCACAGGGAGTATGTTGAGGTTGAGAGGCAGAGGGAGGAAAGTGTGATAGGAGGAGAGAGAAAGGAAAGGAGGGAACTGTCTCTGCTGGACTGGGCTCTCCCACTTCCCTCCTGCTCTCTCTCTAGTACAAAGCCACCCATTCTTACACACCCTCCTCTACACTCAAACACACACACACACACACACACACACACATACACACTCACAGTGGAAGAGCTATACATGATGTAGCTACACAACCCTATGCCCTCTAGGAGACTTCACTCTCTTCATCTGCCATGCAGCTGAAGACTTGGTTCCTGCATCCTCTGGAAACTTGAGTCTCTGATGGGTTCACTCTGTCAACAAAGGGAGGCATAGGAGAATGACCCCCTTGTTCAGCGGCTCCTTCAGATACCTTTAAAGATCTTTCATATCCCTGACCCATTCTCCCCCTCCAATTTCATCCTTCCCAATAATATGGGAACTTCATATTTGACAATCTACTCCCACCTACACCCGCAGTATCAGCTTTCCTGACAAGCGCACAGGCTGACAATGAAAAGTAAATGAATGAACAAGTGAATGAATGAATGAAAAGCACTGTGCTTTTTTAACTGCTTACTTATGTACCAAGAACCATGTTTGGCAACATACTGGTTTAGGGGTGATGAGAATGTCAAGAGTAAAGGAGGACCCTTATGTTGTGGGCCTGGGTGAGTGAGAGGATGGTTGTACCTTCAGCAGGTATAAGGAATTTTGAAAGGAAGGAATGTTGAGGGGAGAGGGATATAAAGAGTTCTGTTTCGGACATGTTGAATTGAAGATGTCTACAGGACATCCAGTTGGATACGTCCAATAGGCAAGTTGTAGATTCAAGACTGGAGGCCAGCAGAGAGGTTTGGATTGGACAAGAAGATGTGAAAATCATCTGAATAGAGATAATTGACTCCATGGGAACTGATGAGAGCACCAAGTGAAGTAGTATTGAGATAGAAGAGAAGGCAGCTCAGGTTGAAGCCCCCTGGGACACTCATGGGTAGCAGGCATGACCTGGGTGAAGATCCAGCTAAAGATACTGAGATGGCATGGCCATGGTGTGGTGCTGTGGGGCAGGTGCTGTCCTTTACCTTTCTTTGTATTTCCAGTTCTCAGTACAGTGTCTGGCACACAATAGGTACTTCTTAAATGTTTGTTGACTGATTAAAAGGAGATCCTGGAGAGAATAATGTCACAAAAACTCAGAGAGATGGAAGTATCAAGAGAAGGGTGAACAACAGTGTTAAGGGCTGGAAAGTGATCTGGAAAGGTGAGGACTGAGAAAAGGCCATTGGATTTGGCATCTAAGAGATAGTGAGCAACATTAGTGAGAGAAGTTTCAACTGAATGATGAGGGCAGGAGGTCAACTGTAGAGAGTTAAGAAGAGAGAGGAAAGCAAATAGAGGTGACTATTGCAAATGGCCTTTTCAAGGAGTTTACCCACAAAAGGAGGTGGGACGACAATTAGAGAGGATGGATGGATCCAGGGAGAGACTTTTTAAGGATGGGGGAGACATAGACATGTTTGTGGGCAGGGGGGAAGCATCCAGTACACAGGGAGATATTGAAGTGAGAGAATGGGGATGATAGAGGGAGTGGTCTGCTGGAGGAAATGGGCTGGAAGGGGACCCCTTGTACAGGTAGAGAGAGGTTTGGCTCAATAAGGAATAAGCATATCTCTGTGTGAGACAGGGCTGGGGGAGGAGACAGTGGCAGAAGGCATCTGAGTGATGTCAGAGGAAGGGGAGGGGAGAAGAAGGAACTCTAGGGGAATGACCTCAATATTTTCAGTAAGATATGATACAAGGTTCTCAGCTGAGAGGGTGGGTGGGTGTGGGAGGAGCCATAGGAGGTTTGAGGAGGATCAATAATTTTCTGAAGAGCCATAGTAGTGAGTGGGATGGTGAGTTAATTAGAGAAGTATACAAAGATTGCCTTGGGGCTCCAGGAATAGCTTGGTCAACTTTTGGGGAAAACTAAGTGCTGTTTTACTAGGGAAGGAAGAGGCATGGATGGAACCCATGTTGAGGAGAAATACTGGTACACATTATTCCTATCACACAGAACTTGGCCTTTACCAATTCACTGTGAATGGTTTTGAGATTGGGAAAAAGAAATGAAATAACATTTTGGGCCATGTCTTTCATCATTCTGATAACAGAGCAAAGCAGCTGTAGGAAAAATGAAGTTTTCTGGGAAGTGATCTCCCTGGACCTAGATTTTGTAATGCATTGGTCTTTTTTTTCTATGATGAAGATACAGCATACATTGTTGTCTGTGGTAGTGATAAATGACCAATGTGGATCTGGGTGCATCTGAGCAAGGTACACGTAATGTTTTTGTAGCACTACAGTATGGCTGGGTTTCGTTGGATCATTTTGAGTTGTGTCTGATTCTTTCTGACCTCATTTTTTTTTTTGGCAAAGATACTGCAATGGTTTATCATGTCCTTCTCTAGCTCATTTGATCAATGAAGAACTCAGGCAATGAGGGTTAGGTGACTTGCCCAGGGTCACACAGCTAATAAGTGTCCGAGGCAAGATTTATACTCAGGAAGATGAGACTTCTTGACTCCAGGCCCACTGTACTATATATTGTGTCACCTAGCTGCTCAAGGTTGTGATCCCCCTGGGCTCCCTCTGATGCATATGTGAGTATTACCAGATTAGGTGGTTTACTGAGAGGATATCTGGGAGAGCTTTCCAGTGTCTTTGGTGCTGAAGTGATGTTTTTTATATCTGTTGTCATCATCTCATTTAACCTAAGCTGTTGTGTAACTCCTTGAAAACTCATTTTGGCAAATGGTTAAATTGGAATAAGATTTCTCACACATTAAAGAGACAGTAGGATGTAGACAGATATTTCATGAAAAAATTCAATCAGGCCAATAAGTGGGTGCTGAATTATCATGAGATAAAATTAGATAGTTTTATTGGAAATGACTTTTGTGTGTGTGTGTGTGAAGCAATTGGGGTTAAGTGACTTGCCCAAGGTCACACAGCTAGTGTCAAGTGTCTGAGGTTGGATTTGAACTCAGGTCGTCCTGACTCCAAGGCTGGAGCTCTATCCACTGCCCCTTTCCTCCTCTGCTCTGAGGGTAGTAAGGTATCCAAGTCCCATTCAGGGGCTGGTGGTCTGCTGCTGCTTCAGCTACTGGGCTGTTCCCTTAAGTGGAGCCCAGGACACCCTGCCCCTGCCATCCCGGCCCTCCCTCTCCAGGTTATCTGTAAAGAGGCTGACCCCTGATAGCCCCAAGCTTAGCTCAGCTGCCCCACCCCATCCTGCCCAGCCCCAGCAGCTGCCCCTAGGAAAGTGGGACCTGGTTCAGTCCTGGGCCCTCCTCCAAGCACTGTGGCCCCCTCCCCTCCCCAGGCTGAGTGATGGGAGTTGAGAGAAAGGACTGGGGCGGGGGCTTCTCACGCCTCTGGGCGTGACGTCACAGATCCCGCCCTCTTTCTCCCTCCTCCCTCTGCTCTGAGTGGCTACTCCACTGCGCTACTGTGACGTCACCGTACCCGCCACTCTACCCTTGGCCAAGGTCAGTGGTTTTTGTGGGAGGACGAGGAGGAGGAGGGGGAAGAGGGAGTTCTCTTTTCTCCTGAGTCTGGGGGCGCCAGCTGGAGATCTGCCCGCCCCCAACTCCCTGCCCTTCTGTGCCCCCACCCCCCAACCCCGGTCACGTGAGAGATCCAGAAATTCCTGCACTGTCCCGAGTGGCTGTGTGCGAGGTAAGCGTCCCCTCCCCCTTCTGCCAAGGCCCCTCCCGCCCCTCTGCATCCCCCCCTTGTATTCTCTTCTGTCTTCTCCTGAAGTCCCCCCACCACAGATTGGCTTGTCTTAGTGCCCAGGGGCCTTTGTGTGTGCATGGGGGCGGGGCAGTCGTGGGAGTATTAATACCCTTGTTTATGCGTGTGTTGTATGTATGTACCTATGTACGTGCGTGTGTGTGTACTCGTGTGTATGTGTGTGTGTACCTATGTACGCATGTGTGTGTACTCGTGTGTATGTACCCATGTACGTATGTGTGTGTGCTTGTGTGTATGTGTGTGTACGTACTCGTGTGTACCTGCTTCTCCAGGGCTGTTCCTGCCTGGGGCTTCCTGCCTGCCCACACCTTGGTCTGGAGGTCTGGGACGTGGCGGGGCGTAGGGTGGAGCCCAGCAGGGAGAAGCCTTTGGGGACACTCCCTGCATCCCTTCCCCAGGTGGACGTTTCCATCCTTTCTTCCTCCCTTCCTCTCATCCTTGGCTTGGCCTCAGGGCTGGGGAGAGAGGAGACAGTCTAGGAACTCTTCCTCTCCCCTTCTCCGTATCATCTCTTCGGTCTGGTGTCCTTCGATTCAATGGTGTATTTGTTTTTGTTCTGCTTTCAGCCAGCACCTGGTGAAAGGGGCCTTTCCATGTACCTTATCGTGGAAGAGAAAGAGGGAACTGTCCCTGAACCTGCGGATCTCTATGATTTACCGACTGAAAGAAAAGAGTTGTTTTAATGTGCACTTACTTCTCTCATTATGGGGGATTTTGGAGCATTTTGTCATAGGGCTATTGGTAGTTTGGATTTCTTCCTTTGAAAAGGCCCCTTTTCCTTTGTCCTATTGGAGAATGGCTCTTAATCCGGGAACTTAGAATCAGAGCAATTGTTTTCATAATGAGTGATTTGTAGTATAGTTTAACATCTGCTACTGATTGTCATGAACCCAAACCCCTTTCTTTCCTCCTCCTGCCCTCCATTATTACCCTGGAGGTGCTTAGCCTCCTTAAAATATTTTTAGTGATGTTTTCTGTTTTTTACATCACCAAGGTATCCCATGTGTCCCTCCCTCTCTTCATCCTGGAGAGTCATACCATGTAACAAATTGTATTTTTGTTTTAGGAAGGAAAAAAAAATTGAGCACAACTGATTGATGCATGTGGAAAAGGTGTGCAGTATGTCACATCTGTGAACCTCTCACGTCCTGAACAGGGTGATGGTGTCTTCTCATGTTTCCTTTTTCAGTCCCACTTGATCTTTAACATTTTGTTACAGGTACTTTTAATTTTTTGTGTGTCATTATTTCAATTATTGTAGTTACTCTGTGTATGTGTGTGTGTGTGTGTATGTATGAGTAAATGTGTGTGTGTGTGTGTATATATAGATATACACACACATATATACGTACATATATATTCTGTTTTCTTGGATCTGCTTAATTCACTTTGAATCAATTCACAAAGATCTTTCCATACTTCTCTGTACTCACCACACACATCATTTCTTACTGCATGGTAGCAGTATTCCATGACCTTCGTGTTCCATGCCTCATTGAGCCATTCCCCAGTTGATGAACATCTACTCTGCTTCCAATTCACAGCTGTCACAAAAAGCGCTGTTATAAATATTTTGGAGTATATGGGGAATTTTTTCTTATTAATGGATTCCTTGGGGTGTTATGGAATGCTTTTTTTAAAGACTAGACATATTTGTTACTTTCTTCACATAATTCCAAATTACTTTCCAAACGGATGTGTCATTTCACAGCTCCCCCAAGAATGCATTAAGGTGTATATATTCCCACAGCTTTCTTTAGGTATCAACGCCACATTTGTGCCAGAAGAGGAATTTGTTAGGACTCCTTCTTTACCTGTTGTTTCAAATAGTTTGTATAGTATTGGGATAAAATGTTTTTTAAATGCTTGGTAGAATCACTTTCAAATCCATCTGGTCCTGTGGATTTTTTTCCTAGGGACTCTTTTATGCCTTGTTCAATGTCTTCTTTTAAGGTGGGATCATTTAAGTATTCTATTTCCTCTTCTGTTAACATGGACGGTTTGTATTTTTATAAATATATATCCATTTCATGTAGATTGTCAGTTTTCCTGGCATGTGATTGGGCAAAATAACCCCTAAGTATTACTTTAATTTCATCTTCTTTGATTATGCATTTACCTTTTCATTTTTGAGACTGATAATTTGGTTTTCTTCTTTCTTTTTGTTAATCAAGTTGACTGATGCTTTATCTATTTTATTAGTATTTTCATAAAACCAGCACCTACTTTTATTTATTAGTTTGATTTTTTAAAAATTTTCTTAATCTCCTCTTTGATGTAGGGATTTCAATTTTGATGTTTAATTGGGGATTTTCTATTTCTTCTTTTTCTACTTTTTAAAATTTCATGCCCAATTCCTTGATCTGCCCCTTCTCTGTTTTATTGATGGAAGCATTTAGAGATAGAAATTTCCCCTAAAGACAACTTTGGCTGCATCCCACAAATTGTGGCATGTTGCCTCGTTGTTGTAATCCTCTTGAGTGAAATTATTGGTTGATTCTGTAATCTGTTCTTCAATCCAGTCATTCTTCAGAATTTGATGACAGTTTCCAATTAATTTTTAATCTGTTCTTCCGCATCTTGGTAATTTATATTGCATTGTGGTGTGTAAAAGTTGCATTTAATATTTCTGTATTTGTCCATTTGTTTCGGAGGTTTTTATACACTAATATATGTTCACTTTTTGTGAAGGTGCCGTGTATAGCTGAGAAAAAAGTTATATTTCTTTTTGTTTCCATTCAGTTTTCTCCAGAGTTCTATCATGTCTAACTTTTCTACAATGCTTTTCCTCTCCTAAACTTCTTTATAATTTATTTTATACATAGATTTCCCTAGTTCTGAGAGGGAAAAGTTGAGGTCACCCTTTGTATAGCTTTATTATTTCCCTCCATAAGTCATTTAACTTTTCGTTTTAAGAAGCTGGATGCTCTGCCATTTGGTGCATATTTGGTGGATATTGATATTATATTATGGTACCTTTTAGCAAGATATAGTTTCCCTGCTTATCTCCTTGAATTAGGTCTGTTTTAGCTTTTGCTTTGTCTGAGATCATGATTTCTACCATTGCCTTTTATACTTCATCTATAGCCTAAGTGGAGGGGGGGGGCTGGGAACATATTGTCTGAAGCAAAGGTTTTTTCACACTTTTCACTTTGATAGTTTCAGAGCTAATTTTGGGAGTTTCAAAGTTTTCTGTGGTCCAAAGTGATAGGATTTGAGCAGAGGTTTGGTCATTGCTTTCCTGGTGTATGCTGTGGTCCTAGGAAGAACCCCTGATCCCTTAGGAGTGCAATTGATATTGCTACAGGGAGTCACTGTTCCATTTGTTTTTTTAAATTTATTTTATTTCTTTTTTTGGTGAGGCAATTGGGGTTAAGTGACTTGCCTAGAGTCACACAGCTGGTGAGTGTTATGTATCAGAGGTTGGATTTGAAGTCAGGTCCTCTTGACTCCAAGGCCAGTGCTTTATCCACTGTGCCACCTAGCTGCCCCTTCACTCCTCCTTTTTGACCAGAAGTGAGCTTACCCCTCAGTACCCTTTTTCCATTGGGATTTCAAGTGATACTGTTGCCCAGGGTCTCTGCTCGCACTTGTCAGAATGTGCTCATTGCTGCCCTTGAATTGTGACCCAGAAGTCTGTATAAGCAATGGAGTGTCCAAACAGCTTCCAATCTTGTGTCTTGAGCTAGCACAGGGGTCTCTGTCATCTCTTTCTAACCAGTTGCTAGGTCCCCTTATTGTCTCTGGCTTGAGAGCTCCCAAAGCTGCTGCTGCTTCTGACTATTAAAATTAACAAAATAACTATAACATAGTAATAATAAAATAGAATAGAAATAGAATAAAATAGAAAATCATTCTGAGGTACAAATTTTCCAAGTAAATAAATAATGATTTCATAGTAATGATTGATAGGTTCCTCTTAGGTCAACTAATTCCTCAGTAATTAGTGACAAAGGAGTGATTTCAGAGTTTATTTTTGTAACAGAAAAGAGGAACTAAAAAATTACAGCCATCTTAGGAAACTTGTTTTGAGCATAATTCAGTTAAATAAGGCAGGGCATCTGATTGGTTTGCTTCTCCCAGGCTTTCTGAAGCCAAATTCCTACTGTTGGCAACATTCAGCTGTCAAAGTGAGATTACCCTAGATGTCTTTGCCCCACAGCTGAAGCAGTTTGAAACCAGAAAGCTTCCTTCCAAAGGGCCTATAGTTTCAACTAAGACTGGCAAAGAGGAACTTATGGTTTGTAGTTACCAGTCACCCCGCCCCCCCACCCCCCTTCCCCATCCTGCACTTGCCAGAAAGGGCAACCCAACCTCAGAACATTACACCACTTAAGTCATATGTAAGCTCTAGTTGAAGAAAAATAAGGGAGCTTATTCCCTAAGTCTGAAGAACTTAATCTTTTGTCAACCTCCCTTCCTCAGCTGCTAGAAAGGGGAACTTAACCTTTGAAAAGAGTCTTCTTTTTTTTTAAATTAATTTATTTTGATTTATCAACAATGACTTC